TTTTTTTCTTCACATTTCATTGGATGAGGCTTTTTTTCTAAAAGGCTGATTCTAAATGCTACTACTGCATTGCCTTGTTAACTATACTGTCGGCCTTGTGAGATAGTTTGAACAAGAAGCACACCCAGGAATGCTAGCTCTATTAGAAGGTTACATTAACAGAATCTTGCAAATCCAAAAAGGCATCTCTCTCCCCCTTCACCCTTACAGTCCAAGAAACTAGGGAAGGTCCCTTCTGAGAAGGTTGCCATGTCCCCATACCTTCTATAATGCAGCTGCCTCTTATCTGACTGTTGCTTAGTCTGCAACATTTCCTCCTGTCTCTCAATGTCATTCTCACATACCATTATGTAACAGATAACAGAATAATAAGAGTTGAAAGGGACCTTGGAGATTTTCTAGTCCATTCCTTTGCTCAGGCAGGAAGCCCTACACCACTTCAGACGAAGGGTTGTCCAATCTCTACTTAAAAACTTCCAGTGTTGGAGCATTCACAACTTCTGGAGGCAAGTTGTTCCACTGATTAATTGTTCTAACTGTCAGGAAATGTCTCCTTAGTTCCAGTTGCTTCTCTCCTTGATTGGTTTCCATCCATTGCTTCTTGTCCTGCCTTGCTTGACTCCCTCTTCTCTGTGGCAGCCCCTGAGATATTGGAACACTGCTATCATGTCTCCCCTAGTCCTTCTTTTCATTAAACTAGGCATACCCAGTTCCCGCAACTTTTCTTCAGATGTTTTTAGTCTCCTATCCCCTAATCATTTTTGTTGTTGTTCTCTGCATTCTTTCTAGAGTCTCAACATAGTTTTATATCATGGCAACCATACGTACACTGAGATTCCTTCTGCCAGTATAGCCTGCCAAAATTGTCCTCCCAGTAAAATTGCCCTATGCCAGAAAATATGAGCTGAACACAGCCATCTACTCTACTTTTACAAACTCCTAGAATACCTCTAGATACTGGCCTCCCACAAAAGAAACATAAACTCCCCAAAGTGGTCCAAACCAATCCATTGACCTCCTTGTTCCTATGACTCTCAGAGGCCAGTTTTAAAAACTTTTTAAGTTATGCCATTTATGTCAATCACTGTGATAGAAGACACGTCACTTGCCTTTGAAATTTTCAGGAGTAAAATGTTATATAAAAAATAGGGATATGAAAAGTACTGTATGTTCTTCCTTTCTTGACAGATGAAGCAAGGAAATGTAGGGCATATTTCACCCAGTACATATATGAAATATGGACTTCACAAATATAATGAACACCAACTTGGTTGACTTTAGAAGCCGATTAGGCACATCCCTAGAGAAGAGAGCCAGCCGGGGCCACCAGTCCTCATGATTTGGCTATCGTTATAATTAATTAAAATGTCCCTTCTGTCAACATAGGTTGGTCAGGTTTTGGCCTCATTCCACAGGACATTTTTGATGGTCTTCAAATACAGCCAGTTACATTGTACTGAGAGAGGGGATGAGATCATCTCTTTAGAAATGTACCTGTATAATAATAACTGTCCTCACATAACCACTGTAATGTTTATAGTTATTTATGGAGTTTTAAAGAGGCTAGCAATGAAAAACAATGGGTAAAAAACAACAGAATATGAATAATAGAATCAATTATTTTGATCATTTACCCTGCAGAGAATGGCCTAAATTAATGATCTCCAAACTTGGAAACTTTAAGACTTGTGGACTTCAACTCCAAAATTCCCCAACCAGGGAAATTCTGGGAGTCGATATGCACAAATCTTAAGGTTGCCAGGTTTGGAGATCCCTGGCCTAAATAAAATAAAACTTCTGGACAAGATACTGTATTTTTAAAGAAGATATGCCATGCCATGTTTTCCCACTGACTTAACACAGAATCATAAGCCTAATGTGGTTTGTTTGGTATAATGTGTTATATGAAGACTATAAAACATGTTTTTATTGTTTGGATGTTGGCTATAACTGTAGCTTAACACAATGTATGTTAAGTAAACCATCACTTTAGCCAGTCCAGTATCCACAACTGTTTGGTGTGTTGATTAGACCAAACAATCCTTCTGTATTACTATATAAGTAGGAGTTGTTACAACAGAAGTAATAGCAATATAAAGAACACTGGACAAGCAGCCAACCATTTCCCCCCTCTTTTACTATGACAAAGTAAACTACCTTGAGAAGTTTATCTTACAATAAACTGTGCTGCATTTTGAGTAGCACAAAAAAATTTTTGCTATGAGAAGTGCATCATTACTTCCTTTGCCACTCTCTGTTCTATAGATTTCAGAAGATGACAAGGTTTCTACTCTATTTCCAAAAGTTTTTCAAGGGGCAATTTTAACTGTTTTTTTTATGTGAACAAACCAATCACAGTCACCCACAACCTAGACATAATACACCCTGAGCAAAAAAACCTTAGTTTGCATCTGTGTTTTATCCAGCCACGTTGTACTAATTCAATAATGTAAACAGATCTATAGGTTAATCATAATTTTCCCTCTCAAAAGGAAAGTAAAGGGATTTGGCTTGAGCAATATGATGGCTACTCTTTCCGACTTTTAAAGTAACAACAGGCTAAACTAATTTAATTATTGTTGGCACACACTGCTTTTTTTTTTAAATGGCTGGAAACAATTTTAAAAGCTCTGAAAAGAATGCCCTTTCCCCCTTCTATGTATTCCATGCCACCTACCGGGAAAAAAAAATCTTATTTCAAACTTGCTACTTTTTACAACAGACTGACTGCAGCTTTTGGGTTTTCCTTTACGTTTCGCTAGAAGCCTCAGCAACCATGCATGGCATAGATTAAATCAAGGCGACTACAAAGCTTCGGGCTGTATCATTTTCTTGGGAGACTGATGGAGGCGGGGGGGGGGGGGGCGCGACGGAGAGGCTGGGAGCTTTCCTCTTTAAAAAAAAAAAATCCAGTCCTAGATAAAACCTCCTTCTGCAGATACATTTACAGATCTCTGGAAGGATTTTGGATACATTTAGGATTTTTTTTTTTAAACGCCTCTGTGAACAATATCGCTGAACTTTAATGGGCGTGTGTGTGCTTGCAGTTTATATTAACTCTGAGGCTGAGTTTTCCTTCTTCCACTGTTTTTTTCCTCAGGACACTGACCTAGCCTTTAATTGTTTGGTGATAGGCATGTAAGGGGGAGGGGCGTTACTTGTTTATTGGAACAGCACAGTTAAAAAAAAAATCAACCTAGGCGAACAGTTTCTAGTCCCCCCTAAGGATGGATCCAAACAGGCAACCAATCAGCTCTTACACAGCTTTTTCAGCTTGTCTTTTTTAAAGGGACAGTAGCAAACGGGTTATATCACATTTAAAGAGAAAGAGACCGACGGGGAGAGAGTGGGGCCAGAGTGAGAGGCGAGAGAGAAAATTCTCCCAGTTCTTAAAAAGGGTCTAACTTTAGGCTTCGGGGAGGGGGAGGGAAAAAGAAAAAAAAAGAGCCGCAAACAAGGCGCCTGTACTTCATAAAGAGGGAGGGGGGAAACGGTGAGTTATTGTGACAAGGAGCCAAGGCGCCCTTCCTGGGTGCAGGCATAGCCCTTGGCACATTCATCTCGGAGGCTGTGTGATTTATTAAGTCGCATATTTAAAGACCTCCAAAATGTATTATTATTTGAAGAAATGCCAAGGATCCATCCTTTTTATCGATTTCCACCACCACCCCCTTTCCCCCGGCAAAAACAGTAAAGCAAGCAATAAAAAAGGGGGGAATTGATGGGGCCGGTTCCGTTTGGAGGCATTTTGGCTTAAGTTTATGGTTTTGACGTGGTAAGGTTTTCGCTTAATGATTTCAGGAAGACGAGGTTGCGCTCCCCCTACTCCGGTCGTTAGAAGCAAAATAAATAAATAAATGAAT